CCCAAACCCCAAACCCCAAACCCCAAACCCCAAATCCCAAACCCCGCGCGGGCGGCGCCGCCAAGCGCAGGATTCTCCCGTTGATTTCTTGTTTCTCGTACGGCGCCGCCTCTCTTCCAGACGCGGGCGGGCGCGAGCGGAACTTTACCAAACCAACCCAAACCAACCCAAACCGACCCAAACCGGCCCAAACCAACCCAAACCGGCCCGAACCGGCCGGACCTGGGCAGGTGGCAGTCCCGCTCGCAGGCGCTGAGGAAGTGCTGCAGGCCCGGCCGCAGCAGGACCCCGCTGAGGCCGAAGATCACGGCCCGGGGCGCCATGGCCGCCGCCGCACCGGGGCTCGAACCCGCGACCTCGACCTTTGGGCCGGCTTAGGCCACGCCCCCTCGCCGGGGATTTGTTGTTGTGCGAGGCCACGCCCCCTCCGCGAGGCCGCGCCCCTCGCGTAGAGCAGAGCGCGCGCCGAAGCCACGCCCACCCCGTAGGCGGCAATGGTGAGAGGCCACGCCCCCTCGGCGAAGCCACGCCCACCCCATAGGCGGCAATTGTGAGGCCACGCCCCCCAGGCGAAGCCACGCCCCCTATAGATTGCAATGGCAGACGAAGCCACGCCCAACCCATAGACGAACGGCTGTCAGACGAAGCCACGCCCACCCTATAGACGGCAATGGCAGACGAAGCCACGCCCACCCATAGACAGCAATGGCAGATGAAGCCACGCCCCCTATAGATTGCAATGGCAGACGAAGCCACGCCCACCCCATAGGCGGCAATGGTAAGTGAGGCCACGCCCCTCCGAGAAGCCACGCCCCCTATAGTTTGCAATGTCAAACGAAGCCACGCCCACCCCATAGACGGCAATGGCAGACGAAGCCACGCCCACCCCATAGACAGCAATGTCAGACGAAGCCACGCCCACCCCATGGACAGTAATGGTAGCCTAAGCCACGCCCCCTCTGTGAAGCCACGCCCACCCATAGGCGGCAATGGCAGACGAAGCCACGCCCACCCCATAGGCGGTAATGGGAGGTGAAGCCACGCTGCCTCTGCGAAGCCACGCCCACCCATAGACGGCAATGGCAGCCTAAGCCACGCCCCCTCATGGAAGCCACGCCCACCCCATAGACAGCAATGGCAGACGGAGCCACGCCCCCTCAGTGAAGCCACGCCCACCCCATAGACAGCAATGGCAGACGAAGCCACGCCCACCCCATAGGCGGTAATGGGAGGTGAAGCCACGCCCCCTTCATAAAGCCACGCCCACCCCATAGACGGCAACGGCAGCCTAAGCCATGCCCCCTCAATGAAGCCACGCCCACACAATAGGCAGCATCGGTAAACGAAGCCACGCCCCCTCTGTGAAGCCACGCCCACCACATAGGCAGCAACGGTGAACAAAGCCACGCCCCTCTCCGACGCCACGCCCACCCCATAGACGGCAATGGGAGGTGAAGCCACGCCCCTTTGTGAAGCCACGCCCACCCATAGACTGCAATGGTAGCCTAAGCCACGCCCCCTCAGTGAAGCCACGCCCACCACATCAGCCGCAATTGTAGATGAAGCCACGCCCCCTCCGTTAAGCCACGCCCACCCATAGACTGCAATGGTAGCCTAAGCCACGCCCCCTCAATGAAGCCACGCCCACCCCTTAGACGGCAATGGGATACGAGGCCACGCCCCCTCAGGGGTCCCAAATGGGATTTTTGGGGTCAAATTTGGGATTTTTGGAGTCCCAAATTGAATTTTTGGGTCAAATTGGATTTTTTTGGGTAAAAATTGGGATTTATTAGGGTCAAATATGGATTTTTTGGGGGTCCAAATTGGGATTTTTGTGGTCCAAATTTGGGATTTTTGGGGTCCCAAATTTAATTTTTTTGTCAAATTGGAGTTTTTGGGATCCAAATTGGGATTTTTGGGGTTCAAAATGGGATTTCTGGGTTCAAAATTGGGATTTTTGGGGTCAAAATTTGACGTGTTGGAATCCCTGAGGGATTTTTGGGATGAAAAGTTGGATTTTTTGGGGGGTCAAAATTGTGATTTTTTTTTTTGGGTCAAATTGGGATTTTTTTGGGTCAAATTGGGATTTTTTGGGGGATCAAAATTGAATTTTGGGGGATTAAAATGGGGTTTTGGGGTTCCTGTGAGATTTTGCCCCAACCCCTTTGGGGCCTCAGTTTCCCCTTTTGGATCCCAAACCCCAAATCCCAAAAATCCGAAAAATCCAAATCCCCAAAAACCCTCAAAAATCCCCCAAATCCCCAATCCCAAAAAATCTCAAAAATCCCTAAAAAATAAAAAAAAAACCAAATCAAAAACAAAATCCCCAAAATCCCCTCAAAGTTACAATTTTTTTCTCTTCAAAAAACCGCAAAATTTCCCATTTCCCCCCAAAATTCCCCCTTTCGCCCAAAATCCCAAATAAATCAAAGTTTTTTCAAAAATCCCCAAAAATTCCCATTTTCTCTAAAAAATTCCCATTTTCCCCCAAAAGTTTCCCCTTTTTTTCCCAAAAATTCACAAAATTTTCCACTTTTCCCCCAAAAGTCCCTTTTCTCCCCCAAAAATGCCCTCAAAATTCCAATTTTTCACCAAAATTCCCTTTTCTTCCCCAAAAATCCCCCTGAAATTCCAATTTTTTTCCCAAAAATTCCCTTTTCTTCCCCCAAAATTTCCTTTTACTTCCTCAAAAATCCCCCCCAAAAATTCCCTTTTTTCACCAAAAATCCCCTCAAAATTCAATTTTTCCCCAAATATTCCCTTTTTTCACCAAAAATTCACCCAAATTTTCCATTTTTCCCCAAATATTCCCTTTTCTTCCCCAAAAATCCCCCCAAAAATTCGATTTTTTCCCAAAAATTCCCTTTTACTTCCCCAAAACTCCCCCAAAAAATCCCTTTTCCTCCCCAAAAATCCCCCAAAAATCCCCATTTTCCCCAAAAATTCCCTTTTTCTTCTCCAAAAATCCCCCCAATATTCCCTTTTCCTCCCCAAAAATTCCCTTTTCTTCCCCCAAAAATTAAAATTTTTCTCCAAATATTCCCTTTTCCTCCCCAAAATTCCCTCAAAAATTCCCATTTTTCCCCCAAAATTCCCTTTTTCTTCTCCAAAAATCCCCCCAATATTCCCTTTTCTTCCCCCAAAAATTCCAATTTTTCCCCCAAAATTCCCTTTTCTTCCCCAAAAATCCCTCCAAAATTCAGATTTTTTCCCAAAAATTCCCTTTTTCTTCCCCAAAAATCCCCCAAA